AATCACAACTCGCTGTCAACCACTCGGGAGCACCTGCACGTGCATTTGCGCACAGTCTTGCGCAAAAACTCTGATCAGCACCGGAAGGTCTGATATCTGGTTTTTAGTCTCCCACGCGAAGTCACTTGCGATGTGGGTCTGAATTGCGAATTGACGAATGATCACGTATAACGCGGAGGAACCCCTTCGGCTTCCCGAGGAGAGGCGAGGCTGACGGCTGTCATGGTAGGAGGGTGCATGATGTTGGAGATGTTGTGTGGAAGAGATCAATCGGGGTTGTTTGAACCCACTTTGCATGAAGGAATTTTCTGAGCGATGACATCGAATGTGTCCTAGCGAGCAGGTGCATGTGGATAAATAGCGCACAAATGGGGAGGTGTGGACACCAGAGTTTGGTGCCGAAGAGACGCGCGCCTGAAACCCGAGTGTCTTGCGATTATTTTGGTGTCTCGCGATGGTGTTCTTAATGCATAGGCATTGACTTGTTGATTTGTTCTAATCCATCCAGCTAATTTTCCCTGGCTTTGGGTTTGGTTTTATTAGGGAATGAGAGAAGCTGAAGGCTTGTGCGCTTATTGGCTGAGGGTTGCGCTTCTCTTCGCACAACGTCGAGGAGTGTTGTAACACGTTTTTTAAACATCTGTATTTCAGTGTTATTTTGGACTGTATGATTCAATCTTTAATAATTCATTTCCATGTTTGTCTGCTACAAACGAATGCAGTTTATAAATCTGCAACTTACTCCTAAACTGTGTAAATTAATGTCAAACAAAGAGTGTTGTTACAGTCTATGCCACTACTTGGGTTGTTTGTAACACCAATTAAAACACAGCCAATTTACTGTATTGTGGTAATCAAATATACTTTTTTAGAATAATTAAGAGTTTCCTCAGCTCATTTCATTTTAATTCCAAATAGTAAACAAATAGGAAATATATCGATCATCTCTAACAACAGCTACAGTAACAAATCTATATTTGGGACAAATCTGTACCCAGAAATGAGCTATATCTTACATAAATCTCACAAAAAAACTCCTTTTGGGGATGTTCTTATTTGCAAAAACTGTAAAGTAATATTGTAAAAATGCAGAAAGTTTTCTGTTAGGGTTTATAACTAGCTGGTATGAAAACAATAGAAGTCTATATCAGCTAAATGTATGTGTGAGTCTAATCATATTTCGTGGCCAGATTTGTGCCCAGAAGTGAGTTAAATATGACAAAACCTCTCTCTGAAGGCATCCTGATTTGTTAAAACTGTATTAAGTAAATAAAGATTTTTTTTATTTTTATTTTTTTGTAAAAATCGGTAAAAATGCATGAAGTTTTCTGTTAGGGTTCAGTTGAAGTATTTATAAAAACAATAGAAGTATGGAATGTCCCCATTTAGTAAGTGTGTGTGTGTGTGTGTGTGTGTGTTAGTCATTTTGTCCCATTCTGTAAAATCTTTGTGGATCCAGAAGTACATAGTAAAAAGTGTTACAACCCCCCCATGATTTTATCAGGATATTTTAAAATTTAGTTTAACATGTAGATGAAAAGCTTAATTATAAATTAACCTGCTGGTTCAGCAAAGTCATGATTTCTCCCCAGCTGTAGCTCATTTCTTATGTACAACCCACTGCTGCAACAGTCAAACAGTCACAGATTTTAATCGCGTTACTGAAACAGAGACAACGAACCATATATGATCATTTTTGTTATTACGTTGCTTATATTAAGGTTTAAAATAGTCCAGTAATTCCAAAAATACCTTAATCTTTATTTAATGCCCCTTCATTTTAAAAATGAAGTTTTACTAGTGCATTTACTAAAGTTCATTAATAAACCCCTCTTACTATGCCTGAGGTCTGAGCCTGGAGTCTCTTATGGTTCTCAGATTCAGCACCCATAGATGGAGAGGTCTGGCAAGGATGCACGTAATGCTTTCTTTTCTCCTTCACCTGTCCCCTGACTGCAGCCCCTCCTGCCATTAATGTATTAAATTGACATACATTCTTATGGTGCTTTAACAGTTCACCCTATTACTTAAGAAGTATTACGCTGATGCATTAATGAAAATGCCATAAACTGGGACATAAAAAAACAGTCAGGAAAGCAAATAATACAGTTTTAAAACTGTCTGTACACAGTTAATGCAGTCAGTTTGTGTGATTATAATCAGGAATGTTTATGACATCTGGTCTAGGCGGTTTCTGGTAAATCTTTTAAAAACACATT